CGACATCAAGCTAACCACCCCCTTCTTTCTCTGACAGTGAAAAACCTATCTCACTACAATTTATTTACTTATTGTTCAACACTAGTATACAAGCTAAGAAGTTTCAGAATTGTTAACCTGTAATACATTTACCAGCTATAATCTTTATGTATGATTCCTTTTGTCTTACACTATCCAGTCAAAACACTGTTTTCCAAAATTACTTGTTTAGCTCCTCCCCCACATTTTCCATTTATATTCATAATACAGTTAGATTCATATATTACATTTTGTATTCTGTCTAGGATTGAATGACTTTTTATAGTTTTGTATACAATTAAGTTCTGTCTTTGTAGAGTTCTATAGATCTTGACATAGAAAAGTGGCATAGAGTCATGTATTCACCATCATGATATCACACAAAACAGTTCCATCACACTGAAAATTCGATGTGCGATACCTTAGTCAACAACACCTTGTTCTCTAAGTATTTCCCCTGCAATCACTGATCTGTTTTCTGTCTCTATCATTTTGCCTCTTTCAGAATGTCATGTAAATAGAATCACACAAAATGCAGCCACTTGAGTCTGGCTCCTTTCACTTAGCAAAGTGCATTTAATGCTTATGTATCTCGTTGCATGAATCAGTAGTTCATTGATTTTTATTGCCGAGTAGTATTCCACTGTGTGGGGCTTCCCAGGCGGTGCTAGCGGTAAAGAACCTGCCTCAATGCAGGAGATGTAAGAGACACAGGTTCAGTCCCTGGGTCAGGAAGATCCCCTGGAGGAGGGCGTGGCAACCCACTCCAGTATTCTTGCCTGGAGAATCCCAGGGTCAGAGGAGCCTGGCAGGCTACAGTCCATAGAGTCACACAGAGTTGGACACGACTGAAGTGACTTAGCACATATGCACACATTCCATCACATGGACATACTACAGTTCATCTGTTTACCCACTGAAGAACATCTTGGTTGTTTTCATTGTTAATGAATAAAACTGCTATACACATTTGGGAACAGGTTTTTGTATGGACATATTTTTTTATTTACCAGGGTCAATATGTAGGGAAGAGATTGCTGGAGGTATTGCATGGCAAGTCTATGCTTAATGTTATAAGGAATACCCACACTGTTATGTCTTTAAGTCTTGTATAGTCAAGAGCTTCCTTCCCCATCTCCTTTTTTTCCCTTTTCTTTTCTTGAAATGTTTTGTGGAATCCACCAGATGATGATGCCATTAAAACCATCTCCCAAAAATACACCAACCCCCTGCACACTTCCCAAACTGCGTCTGGAGTTTCCAGGAGGTGTGTGAGATGTTACTCCTCCGAAGCCTCCTTCCCAACACTTCCCAAGTCTGGCAAGGGGTGCTCCAAGCAGAGTCCAAACCCACCTGGAAGCCTGCCCAGCCTGCCTCCCCACGTGTCTTAGAGGTCCAGACATCCAGCCAGAGAAGGAGACTCGAAAGGTCTAGGACAGCTTGTCCTGCACCAAAACTCCAGGCTGCCCGGAGACCATCTCAGATTGTCCAAGGAGCAAGACAGAGCCAGGTGAGGGGAGTGCTGAGCTGCGCCGTCAAGAATGTTGTGCCTTTCTCCTCCCCTCGGTACATCTTTCTGGGTGACCTTCCACCCAGAGTCGCCCAGACTAGATCTGCGAGGAGGGGGCAGGGAGCTGTTTTAGAGCCTGAAGTGGGAAGGAATGACCCTTAGTTGACAAGCAACTCTAGTTCTCAAACTTCCTTGCCCTGGAGAATCACCTAGGGTTCTGTTTAAAAGGCAGAAACCCAGGCCTGCCCCCAGAGAACACAACAGAATAGATCAGGGGTTGCCTAGGAATCTGTATGAAGAACAAAAATGAAAAAATAAATAAAACCAAAAACCCTCCCTAGTGACTCAAGCACAAGTGATCCTTAGACCACACTTCGAGAAACCCTGGCCAAGAAAATGTTTTCTGGCACCAACCGAAGATCCACCCTCCTTCTCCTCTCTCCCCCAACTCCAGCCTCAGGGAGTTGGATGTCTGCAGGAACCTGGGAAGAGACAATGACCCTGGGAGCTGACCTACTTTAGGAGTCTAGTGGGAAGAGGGGTTAGAATTGTGGGCCCTTTAAACTGTGGGCCCAGAGGGCAGAACAATGCCCTGGCACGCAGTCACAAGGAGGCAGAAGGAAGAACTGTAAGGCAAATCTACTGTACCAACCCCAACCTGTTGCTGCCGTTGTTTAGTCGTTAAGTCAGGTCTGACTCTTTGAAACCCCATTAACTGCAGCACACCAGGTTTCCCTGTCCTTCACCATCTCCTGGAATTTGCTCAGATTCATGTCTATTGAGTCAGTGATGCTATCTAACCATCTCATCCTCTGCCGCCCTCTTCTCCATTTTGCCTTCAATCTTTCCCAGCATCAGGGTTTTTTCCAACTCATTGGAAAAGTATTGAAGTTTCAGCTTCAGCATCAGTCCTTCCAATGAGTAGTCAGAGTTGATTTCCTTTAGGATTGACTGGTTTGATCTCCTTGTTGTCCAAGGACTCTCAAGAGTGTTCTCCAGCGCCAGAATTTGAAAGCATCAGTTCTTCAGCGCTCAGCCTTCTTTATAGTCCAACCCTCACATCCATACATGACTACTGGAAAAGGCTAAGCCCAACCATCTAGTGCAAAAGCGCCCTTTACCTTTGGATAGCTTTCCCACTATGGCTACAAAGCCCCTCAGAATCCAGCTGCTATTTCCCCCTGGTCCCTACTCATGGCACCCCAACTTCTAGAACTTCACCAGTTCTATGAGTGTGCCAAGGCCCTGATTTGTGGGCCCTCCCTCCAGATATAGTCCATTTGGGGGTACTGCCTGGCCTGCCCTTGCCCCTCTCTCAGCCCAGTCAACGCCCAGGTCATGCTTCAGAACTCGGTCTAGAAGTCACCTCCAAAGTTCCCTCTGACCCCCACAGCTGGATGGAACATCGCTACTCTCTGTATCCCATATTAAAATTATTTATCCCCCCCCCACCTGACATACTGTCTGTATAATAAAACTTTACTGAGTTGAATTGTTAAGTTATAATGCAGTTTTTAATCTGTCATCCCATGAGGCTACGGGGTCCTCCAGAACCCACTAGCTGGCACTTAGTAGCTGCTCAATAAATGCCTGGCAGTGAATGAATGGCAGTGACCTGGCAGAGAGTAAAACGGTCTGCCCAGGGAGGCAATAAGCCCTCATCGCTAAAGCCTTTCATTCCCAGAGGCTGATGCATCCCCTGTCAGAGATCTTGCAGGGGGTGTTGAAGAGTGCTGGCTAGGACACGCATGCCCTGGGTCCCTCCTGCCGTGGGAGCACAGGGTAACCACAGTAGCCCTGCTGGAGGATACCTCTGAGGAGCAGCTACGCCCCAGCAAGGCAATCACCTGATGTCAGTCTGGTTTGCAGCAGTTTGTGTTCAGGAAGATAAAGGAAATTCATTGCAAAACAGCAATGACCAGACCAGAGGTCACCCTGGTTCTCCTGTCCTCCATTCCAGAGCCAGCTTGTGTCACACCCACCCCTGAACACATGGGGACTTGCCAGGCCTGTCTGGACACACTGGACACAGAGAGGCGTCACCAGCCTTGAGGCAAGACATGTTCCTAATACCTTGAATATCTCTGGGGCATGACCCCCTGCTGTGTGCCAGGCTCTCCCCAATCCATGGGACTTGGGCCCCCTAGGCTGTGAAGACAGGGGGCAATCCAGGTTTCCCAGGCTGGGCTTGTCAGTGTGATAGGTGCACATATAGAGTGGGCCAGAGTTCAGGCAATGCCAGGGCTTCTGGGGAGCCACTTAGCTTCCTTCAATCTGCCTCTGAAGCATAGATCTTTCCCAAATGTCTTCACAGTCCCCACAGAGGGGAGAATCCAGAGTATGGATGGGCCCACGCCGGTCCTCCCTCAGCCCCTACTCTGCTCCAGAGAAATAAGCTTCAGGGGCCTGACCCCCATGGGTTAGGACATCTGAGGGTGAGCTGGGGGCAGGAGCCCAGGAGTGTAGTGTTCAACCTGCTATTGATTAGCTGTGTGATAAAGGGCAAGTCCATTTCCCTCTCTGAACCTTGGAGTCCTCCTTGATAAATGAGGGAGAGGGACTAGACGAGTGTTTCCTGACCCTGGCTATGAATCAGAATCATCTCAGTGGTAGTAAGAGAAAGTAACTTGAAAATACACAGATTTTCCCAAAGCTCCTAAAGGAATCTGAATCCCCAGGGAAGAGAGGTTTACAAGCTCTTGCTCCCAACCTCACCCTGATTGGTTAGGGGGAGCCTTTGTTGTTGGTATTGTTTAGTCCCTAAGTTATGTCTGATGCTTTGCGACCCTATGGACTAGAGCCCTCCAGGCTCCTCTGTCCATGGCATTTCTCAGGCAAGAAAATGGAAGTGGGTTGCCATTTCCTTCTCCACGGGATCTTCCCAGACCAGGGATAGACCAGTGTCTCTTGTATTGACAGGAGGGTTCTTTACCACTCATCACCCAGGAAACCCTCTAAGGAGCCTCTGGGACCCTTCAAACCCTCCCCAGCCCCCTGAACCATGACTCTGGGATGCGGTCTTCCCAGCCACAGCCCACCCCTTACCAGGTTCTAAGCTTCCTCCAGCCAGGGCTAGAGTAAGCTGCCCCATATCTCTTTCTCCAAAGAGTTCTGGAGCCGGAAGCACTAATCAGCGAGCAGTTTATTAGCCATCAGCCTGTCTGGGCCTCCCCACACCGAGGCCTGTACACAGTCTAGACAGGGCCTTCGCTCCTGGCAATCCTCCAGTCCTCGTGTGCCGGCCCCACCCAGTGTCCACCCCCACCCCAGTCCTCCACACTCTCCTGCTCCCACCCCTTCAAGGCAGCACCAGACCGGGGACCACACCTCAGCTAGAGGAGGGGAGGGAGGGCAAGGGAGAGGAGGCAAGAGCTGGGGAAAACGGAACCAGATTGGCCCCCAAGCCTCTGGAACCACCGCCCCAGGACAAGGGAAAGTGGGTAGGGCTGGGGGCGGGGTGCCAGGCGATGGTTCAGGCGGGAGGCTCTTCTCCAGGAGGTGCAGGGAAGCCACTCAGGTCTCGGCCAATGATCTCACTCACTGTAAAGGAGGGGCAGTTGAGAGACTGGGAGCGGGGCAGATCGCCTCCTTTTCCAGAGACCCCCAATCCATTCCAGGCAGGCCTCCCTCTAGGATGCCTCTAGGTTCCTCCTGCACTGGCTGGCTTCTCTTCCACTGGGCCTCAGTTTCCCTGCTGTGTCCTAACACCTGCTCTCAATCAAATCTTGCTCAACTCCATCCACGTGGCCTCTCGGGCCCTCATGCCAGCCCCTTCCTGCTGGCCCAGCCTGCACTGTCAGCAGGGCCGGAAGTGGGTGTAAGCCGATGGGAAGAAGAAGAGGTGAAATACGTGTCCTCATCGCCACTCAAGACCACAGTCACCACGTTTGGGGGGAGGTGAGACAAGGGAAAACTTGACTGGAACACCAGCAAACCACTGCCCCTCTCTGAAACTCAGTGCCTGAATCTGCAAATTGAGGGAGCTAGATTGAATGGTCTTGCAAGTACTTCTAGCCCTGTGTCTTTGTGATCTGGGGTCGAGGGCCTAGGCAGGAGAAGGGTGGGGCGGGTACTCCCTGCCCCCTTCAGAATTAAGTTAGCCGGAGTCAGCTGGCCACACGCACCAGGCACTTGCCTCCTGAGGCCCTCCAACTGGCCCCGAGAGGCCACTGGGGCCCAGTCTCTGGAAAGCCAAACTCCAGCCCTCAGTAAACATGCAGAGCAATCTCTTGCACACACTCACACTCGCAGCCCCGGGTCCCACACCCACCTTCCTCCAGCGTGATACCCTGGATAGGGACACTGTCTCGGAAGCCGCTGCCGTAGCCACCCCTGGATTTCTCCTGCTCCGGAGCCCCCTCCCCAGGGCCGTAGCTTGGCCCTACCTCACTGTATCCCTCAGCAGGTGGGGGGCGAACACTGCCCTGGGGAGGGAAGGGGCCTTCAAGTGGTGGGGATGAAGGCAGTGGGGGCCGGAAGGGGGAGGGAGGAGGGAACTGCAGCCCCAGGGGAAAGGGGGAGCCCCGTCCTCCATAGGGGTCACTAGGGAAGGGCCGGGGAAGGAAAGAGACTGGAGGTGGGCGGGCACAACCTGTGGTACCCCCAGTCTCAGGGAACATCCGCAGGCCAGGTCTGTAGGATGGTGGGGGCCCCGTCTGGGGGTACAGTGGGGGCGTGCCATAGCTGAAGCCTTCTGACAGGTAAGGCGTTTCATAAGCAGGGTCTTCATGGGGATAGGAGGGGTAGGGGGGCCTGGGTGGTGAGAAGTCCATGTCAGAGCCAAAGGGGGGCCCCGATGCTGAGGGGAAGCCCTGGAGAGATGCATCCGGTAGAGGCTCCTCCTTGAAGATCACTGGACGGAGGGGAAGCAGGAGGACATGCTGGTGAGAGGGCTGGCAGTCTCCCCACCACACACCTGCCAACCCCACCCCTCCAGCCCAGGTTTCATCCACCCCTTAGCCCCTCCCCATGGGGCACTGCATCCCTGCGCCCCTGCCTTAACCCCCCACATCCCCATCCCACCACCACGGGCTGCGCCAGAACTCACCAGGCAGGAACTTGAAACTCTGGGTAGGACTGCGCTTCCTCCGCCCATTGGAGACGTAAAAGTAGACCTGGACGGGCCGGGACACGCGCTTGTTGCTGTACTCGGGGACAGTCAGGGTCAGAGTCACCTGGGGAGGAGCAGAGGATGAGGCAGGGAGCCCTCTGGGGTCTAGGCTCAGACCAGACTCCACCTCCTGGCTTTTCCCATTTGCAAAGGAGCAAAATTCATCCCCCAGAGGTGTCCCTGCTTCCAGAATGGCCAGGTTGTCTCCTCTAGCAAAGAACAGGTAGCTTCTGGAGTCCACTCCCAAGGTAAGGGAGTCAGCTGAGAATTTCCTGACTTCTCCCACCCCACCCCACCCCACCCCCAGGGTAGAGATCCTAGGAACAGGGTACCTCATTGCTCTGCAACCGGTTCACCGTGGCCTCCTCCTCCCATTGCAACTTTCCATCTGTGCAGAAAGAAGAGGGAGCTCCAGCCCAGCCCCACAGTCCCTGCCTACTGCCCAGGCCTCTGCGTTTCCCCTCCTGTTGAGCTAAGGCCAGACTCGGAAGGTCCCAACAAAGCCTGGCTCACAGAGGGGCCCACTGCATGTTTACTCAATCGAATGGAACAGGCCGGGTTTAAAATTGTCTCCAAGATCGCAAGCCATCAGTTGAGCCAAGAGAAATGGCAGGACCAGTCCAGGGACCAGAAAAAACTCCTGAGCCCTCCCACCCAACTCCAAACATCCCCTCCCATGATAGAGCTGGAAGGAAGTTCAAGGGTAGGAAAGTGTCCCAGCTTGAAGGGAGTCAGTAAGACTCCAAGTCTCAGGACCCAGAACCTCTGACTCCGCTCTGATATGGTCCTAGGATGCTAAACTTGAAGGCAGGGGCTGGGGCTCTGGGCAGGCAGGGTTAGGGGCGAGCTGAAGCCTCAGGTCAGGGGCGGGGTGTACCTGGACCCCTCATTCTTCCCTTCTCCACCCCTGCAGCTCTATGCTGGGGTGCCTCACAGGCTCTTGTCATCATAGTTCTGCTGCCAGTCCCGAAACTCAGGAGGGGCTCAGGGTCCGGCAGTGAGGGTATAAGTCACCTCTTCCTTTCTCATCTTCCCTGTCCACATGGGGGTAAATTAGCTCACAGCTGACTCATCTTTAATAAAAAGAATGTGTATTTCTTACATTTATTCGCCATCTTGAGCATTTCAGATGGCTGTCATATGCATGGGAAGCAGACAGTATAAGAGGAAGGGCAGTCTTTCCGTTCCATTTTACAGATAAGGAAATTGAGGCTCCACTTGCTAGTTCAGAGACTGTTCACCCTCCCTATTCCAAGCTCTTCCTCCCGGCCTGGGTACTCACCGGGGCCCCTCTCGATGAACACCACCTTGGAGTCCGGCAGGAAGTTGGAGCCAGTCAGCACGAGCTCCTCCCCACCCCTGACAGAGCAGGCACTGGGGCTGTAGGCCTCCACCTGGGGCAACTCCTGAGCTGATCGCTGGGCTGCAGGGCAGTGCAGGAGAGGCCTGGCTGGGCTGCTTTGGAGAGGACAGGTTCCTGCGCCCCCACCCTGCCTAGGGTAACTGCCACGGGGCCTGGAGGAGCCCTCCTCAGCGGCAGACACACAAGAAAAACAAGTCTTCCTGGGGTCACACAGACCAGGTAAGGAACCCCTCCTGGGCGGAGAGAGAGGCCAACAAGGGGCTGCCCAGGGGCAGATGGAGGCTAGGGTTGCTCTGGTCCAGCCCAGGGGCGGAATCTGCAGCAGGGCGAAAACAGAACACTTCCCCCAGCCCATCCACCATAGAAATAAAGGCTGGGTTCCTTAGGGGACCAGCCAGGCACGGCAGACTCTGCGGAGGAGATGGGCAGACAGACACACAGACAAAAAGTTAGCCAGAGACAGAAAGATGGCACAGGGCCTCTTTGCTCACAGCACTCGATGGGCACTGATGCTGTCTGGACGGAGACAACCTTGCCGCTGCCTTGGGGCACGTGTACGCGGAACACCAGCCGCACTCGTGTGTTCTTGCGCCCGATGTCCGTCTCGCCCTTCCGCAATTCAATATCCGAATTCCGAAGCTTCAGGATTCCAGCACAGTCAATGCTGAAGCCAAAGAACAGAAGGCAAGCCCTCCCATCTGAGGCCAGAAGGGGATGCCTCCGGAGAGAGGAGTCCCCACCCTCCATCTGAAGCCCTAAATGACCTTCTCTGGGAGATTATGGGGGTGGCTGTTATAACCCAGAGTGCTCCCCACCCCCAAAGTCCCCTTCTAGATAGTGAGAGGGCCTGACACCTCCTAGGGATGATGTCTAGCTCCTCTGGGGAGAGGAAGAGTTGGCCTAGCTTGTGAGAACCTACTTGGCTGCCATGTTGTTCTCAGGGAGCAGGGTCATCTCCAACACCTTGGTACCACTGACTACAGCTTCATAGCTGGCCGTGGCCACCATCTTGCCGGTGATACGGTGCACTTGATAGAAGGCATGAGGCCGCAGGTTCCGCTCGTCTGCGGTGCCGATGAACATCTGCAGGGTCAGCGGCTTCTCACTGTAGCCTAGGAGCTGGGGGAGGGAGACAGAGGCCACCCAATTGAAATCTCCCCTGTCTCATCCTTCATCCACCCCTAAGTTTTCAGTACCCCCCCCACCCCCCCACCCCAAAGGAGTGAAAGATAAAGGATGTCCTGGAAGGGATTCCCAGGGGGGATTGGGCACCAACTCTCCACCAGTTGGGGAGAAAACGTGGCCTGGAGTTCAGTGTTATTCTTGGAATGAGGCCCAAACTGGGCTGGGTGAAGGGGAAAATCTTCCAAGAGAGACTGGCCCAACTCAACAGAGACAACCTAACTCCCAGTGAACTTTGGCCTCAGCCTAACCCCTCCCCCACATCTGGCAGCCCACCATTTTCCAGAGTAGACAGGAGGCTGGTATCCCATGGGATGAATGGAGTGGGGGTGGAGGGACAGAGGAGTAGAAAGTACATCCGGGTCCCTGAAGTTCACCCCTCCTCCCCCAGCACCAGTCCCTCCCCCAGGCCGCCTGCGGGGTCATTGCTGAGAGGGAGTGTGGGAAAGGGCAGTGCCATGCGTCTGCACAGCTGGGGCCCATCTGCAGGGACCTGGGACTGGAGAAGGACAGGCTATCCGGCCTGGCTTCTACCACTTACCTTGACTACAGGGTGACCACCAGGGGCTGCTTTGACAGCTCCCCGGCTGCCCTCTGTCTCATAGTGGGCCCGGTGGTGGGCTCTGGGCTGCACCTCGATCCTCAGCTCCAGCTGCTCATACTGGCTGGGCAAAGGCCAGTCCAGCGGGGGGAGGGCAGAGGTCCTGGAGAGAGACCCAGAGAAGAGCACTGATCACCCACAGCCTCAGACCTGAGTCAGGGCAACCCTGGGTCCCAACTCCCAGGGGTGTGAGGGAGGAAGGGGCGGGGGTGGGTTTGAGAGAAAGGAAGTCAGAGCGGCAGTAAAACGGTTCACAAGCCTAGAAGCAGGGGCGATAGGGGACAGGCCTCTCAGAGGCCCTCAAGATGGGGGAGTGGGGGACACCAGGACTGAGACTCCCTTCTTCCCAGCTCTGAACACTGGGTCTGGTGGGGGTGGGGCAAGGGTTCCCCTGGATACAGAGGAACCCCAAGCCCAGTCTAACCCTGCCAGGCCTGGATGGGAAGAGTCAAATAAAGAAGCACAATTTCAAGGAATTCTCTGGTGGTCCAGTGGTTAGGACTCTAAGCTTTCACTGCAGGAGGTAGAGGTTCCATCCCTGGTCTAGCGATCAGGAGCTAAGATCTTGCATTTCAAGCAGAACATAGGGGGCTAAGCAAGCCAGCAACTAACAGAGCTGGGACTGATGGCATCCCTTCCCAGGCCAGCGCACTTTCCACTAGTTGGAGCTGGACAGGTGGGTTCCAGAGAGCTGGGGGATACAGATGTGTAACTTCCCTGTAGTGAGCACCCAGACACTCTGGGCCAGGGGATCTCAACTGGTAAGTGCCCCCCAGGTGATACTTGGCATTGTTTGGAAACAACTAAAAAGTTGTTACAACTAGGAGAGTGGATAGAGGCCAGGATGCTGCTAAAGATCCTACAATGTCCAGCACAACCGACACAACAAAGTATTATTCTGCTCAAAATATCAGGAGTGCTGGGGTTGAGAAACCCTGCCCTACAAGAACCCAGAGGAAAAAAAAAAAAAAGAACCCAGAGGAATGGGAGTTAAGGTTTCTTTCCCCCAGGAAATTTTTCTGGATGAAACCAGCTCAATCTGATATCCAAGATTTAGGATTATTGAAATAGACATGGTTCTTTGAGGGTGAGAGGTGTAGAAGGGCAGTAAGAACTGCTTGTTTTAACATGAATTCTTTGACTTGCAACACATGCTACTTCATTCAAATTTTGCAGATATACTTTTAAGCCACAAGTCAGACCCAAGAAATTGAGTTAGAGAAAGGGGACTTCCTGCTGCCCATTGCAGGGCAGAATTTCAGCCCAGGATCCAGCACAAAGCTGGGGGTGGAGGACGCCTAGAGGAATTCCTCCTTTACCTAGGTGGTCCTTCTAGGGCTCCAGGGGCTTTTCCTAATTAATATACAGGGAGTGACTGACCTTTGGCAAATCATCTGTCCAAAGGAGATGCATGTTAAAAAATTCTTCCTAAAACTGAGTGAATGGCAGCAGCCAAGCTGGTAGCAGATTCTCTTTTCTGTGCGCTAAGATCTTTTTCCCAATTCACCTCTTGACTCTCCTGCTTTCTGGGTGGGATGGCTGGAGACAGTGGTGATATCAGACACAACCCTCACCTGAAGATGGGGCTGTGTCCCCCAATCCGGGCCTTGGACCAAGCCAGTGGAGAAGGCACCGCCAGGTAATCCATGCCAGCCACCTCCTTCCGAGGACCCCCAGGAGGAGCCCCGGCCTCCTCTACTCCCGAGGGCAGCTTCCCATTGCACGGGGCAGGCTCCTCAGACCGAGTCAGGGCCACCGCCTGCTCGCTGGAAGTCCTCCGGGTCTTCTGGGGGATGCTTTCGGCCGATGGGGCTCCCACATAGTCAAAGGGGCCAGGGGAGCCAGGGTCCCGGACCAGAGGCAAGGGGGGTGGTGGAGGTGGCTCAGGCCCCTCCTCCCCTAGGCTGCCTCGGCGGGACAGAGCTGGGGAGGCCGAAGATGGGGTTCCCGAGCTGGAATAGCGCCTCTTGCCACATGGAGAGGCAGGTCGTGGGGAGGCTGGGGTGGGCCCAGGAGCACTGAGGAGTAGCCAGCTATCCTCTGGCCCCCGGCCTCCAGGACTTGGACCATACAGGCTCCAGGGGTCATCGGGGGTCCACGGCCTCGGGGAGGCCCGGGGTGAGGGCAGTGGGGAGCCCAGGCCAAAGCGGGAGGCTGCCTCATTTAGCTCAGACTCCACCTCATCACAGGCAGCATACAAGGCTGCCTCATCCGAGGCATCTGAGAAGAAGCTCCAGGAGGACAGGCTGCTGCTGCCCGGGCTTGGACTGAAGAATGGGCCCCCACCCTGCCCCCCTGCCTCTCGGTAGCCTCCAAAGCCTTCCGGTGGGGGGTAGTCCCTGGGGGAGCCTTCCCCCCAGGGATCTGAGTTGTCCTCCAGCGCAGCTGGTGGGTCGGGAGTGGGAGAGATAGAGGTGATGCGGATGCTGGGGCACTCAAGAACACGGCCTCCCCCAGCCCCCCCGGAGCTCCCTCCCGGCCCCCCCAGCCTCACTGACCGGGCTGGCTGGCTCTCCCAAGTGCCAGGTGAGGGGGCCGGGCGGGGTGGTGGGGAGTGCATGCCAGGCCGAGGGGGTGGAGGCCGGGGAATGCCAATGGGAGCAGCGCCATAGGGAGGGGGCTCCCCCAGGGCCAGACGGCAGCATGGTGGGGCGTCCTCTGAGTCCAGTTCTGTGGAAAGGGAAGGAGACCGAGACAGGGATGACACAGAAGGCGGGCAGAGAAAGAGGCAGGTGAGATGTCTAGGTTCCTTGAGTGGGCAGCCACCCCAGCCAGTGTGCTACCCCGCCTCATCAAAGAGAGGTCTCTGAGATGCCCTTCGGAGCCACAAAGACAAAAGCAGAGTTGGACTGGGGAAGGTGGAGAAGATAAATCCAGAAGTGCCGGACCTTTTCCTACTCAGAGAACCTCAGGGCTCTGGCCCTGGGACCTGGGGTACCAGACAGGGGGCGGGTCTCAAGGTAAGGGAGGCGGGTCGAGAGGGGCTGGAGCTGGGTTTGGAGGCGTGTTTAGGGAAGCATTGGGCTGGGCTAGGGGCGACTCACACATGAACCCAATTAGCAGCGGTTCCCAAACCCCCAAACGGCGCTGGCAGGAGCCCCAGTTGCCATCGCAACGGTGGCCAGGGGAAGGGGGGCTCCAGGGCTGTGATGACGAGGGAAGGTGGTTCCTCCCTCACTCCCCCCAATCCGGGGGCGGGGGTGCAGCGAAGGGGGTGCTACGCGCCGGCCCGGCGAGGCGCGGGGGGGCGGGGGCGCTGGCTGCGCGGATTCCGTGCGAGCGGCGGCCGCCGCCCCCGGCTCAATCCCAGCCATCTGCCTCTCATTGCGGCCAGACGGGGGAGGGGGAGGGGCGCCCTGGCGGGGCCTGAGAGCGCCCCCAGCCCCTGGCGTCCCGTCTGCGGTCCCAGGGCTCCGTCCCCGAGGGGCAAGCTCCAGAGCGCAACGTCCCCTTTCCCTGGCGGCGCCCTGGGCTCTCAGGACCGCTGTTCCCGCCCGCCCCCCATCCCAGTGACAGTCGGCCCTGCCGAGAGGCGGCGCGCAGCCAACGGCACCCCCACCCCCACCCCAGTCACGACCTAAAAAGGAGAAAGTGGTGCCGGGCCCCCAGCCTCACGTCCGCAGATCCCCCCGAGCCCCGCGACTCCCCGCAACATCTGACCCCCTCATCTCTCACCCCAGGCTCTCTCCCCTGAAGCCCCCAGACTCAGGACACCCGATCCCTTCCCTCATGGAGCCCCAGACCCCTTCCCAGCCCCGCACTGACCTTCCCCCGCCCCACCCGCGCCCAGCGGGGGGGCCTCCTTTTCCTCCCCGAACACCAGCTTAAATTCCAGCTCCTCATCCTCGCAGCTCGCTGCCCCCATGGGTCCGGCCGGAGCCCCCAGGTCCCGGTCTGGGCGGGAGGGGGGATCTCAGGAGGCTGCAGTGTCTTGACCGGCGACTCCCTCCCTCCCTTCTCTGAGACGCCCCCTCCTCCGCCGCTGACGCCTCCCTCCGGACGCCCCCTCGTTATTATAGAAACTTTTCCAAACTTTTTTCCCCAAACTTCTTCAAAGTGCCCCCCCAACCTGTCTCTGATTGGCTGCCGGGGATGCTCCAGCCCCTCCTTCAGGGATGAGATGGGAAAACCACGCGCCCCTTGTGCCCCCTCCCTCCCGCAACCCTCCCTCTCTCCCTCCCTCTGTCCTCTCTCCAGTCCCTCCCCCTTAAAAAGAAAAAAAAGAAAAGAACAAAACTGAATTGGAAAACGGTCTCTCCAGCGTTGGTAGGACCATAATGATGCCTATTGGCCCTCAGTGGTGACAATCATTTCCTACAGGGCGCAGTCCCACCGCAATCCCCAACTTAGTCTGAGTTCGGGGGCTCTGGGTTCGAATGCCTTAAAGGGGCCACATCCTGAGCCCACAGTGTAGACGGCCCACGGAAGACCCTTTCTGAAGAGTTGTGCAGCCAGCAACTAGCAAGAAAGCACCACCTCTTCTCCCCTTTCTCTCCGTCTAAGGCCAACCAGGCTCTGGGGTGCAGAACGGCTCCAGGCTGCTCTGAAGTGGAGAAGGCCATTCCTTTGAAGTCCCTAGCCTGAGGCCGCCCCGCCTAAGACTTCTGGAAGGAAGCCTTTGCCTGGCCGAACCAGCCCCTCCACCGGTCCATCTCTCCTCGTCCCCCCAAAATTAAGAAGAGTTATTGGTCTTGAGGCACTGTTCAGAGGTCCATGACTCCTGATGGGCGACAATCCAGGCCGGACTTTACTGCTGCCCTAGTCCCAGCCACCCAGAGGGGCCATTAACTAGCCTCCAAGGGAAGACGGCTCTCTCCTCCCTAGAACCTTAGTCGGGAAAGAATCTCGGATCCGATGGCATCCCGCTCCGGCTCTCCTGATAATCCTGGCCAGGTTTACCGGCGCCCCGCACTCCCGAGACCGGGTGGGCCCCTGGGTGGGACACCTGTCACCTGGGCGGGAGAAGGAAGAAAGACTCGGACTGGAGTTCCTAGAAAGGACAGGCATAGTGGGGTCCTGTTGTGTGAGAGGGGTTTAAGTCGAAACTAGTTATTCAGATGCCGGTCGGTTAGGGTGGGGGCACGGGTGTCGGCACCATGCCCCCTACGCAGACCTTAGGCTACAAACCTATCAGCAAGCAGGCCGCAGCTACCTGTAATCTAAAGACCTCCAGCTCAGGGCCCAGCCTGCAGCTGCGCCCGGGCCCCGCACCGAAGGGGTTAAGCGACGGCCCTAGGCTCAGACGTTTACAAACACTCGGGAGCCGGGCAGGGACCGCGCCCGCTACTCTAATGAGAAACAGGCTCGGCGGGGCCGGGGCGCAGGGGAGGGCTGGCCCGGCCGGCCCGAGCTCCGCCGCGGCCGAGGCGACTCCCCGCCCCCCTCCCCTCCCGCCCTCCCTCTGGCCCGCCCTGGGGACCCCCCAGCCCCGGGGGACCCCAGTGACGTGCGGAGCTGCCCCGGCGGCGAGCCCAGGACCGCGACGCCGGAGGGGCGGGGAGGAGAAGCCAGGCCGGCGGGGAGAGAAGAATGTTGCGAGGCCGAGCGGGGAGGTGGCCTGGTTTGATTTTTTTTTCTTCTTCTTTTTTTCCCCCGCTTTGGTTTGTCGCCTCAGGTTACATTTCCCTTCCAGCTTCATCATGGAAATAAAGAAAGGAGAGACCCTAGGAGAGAGACAGTGAGGAGCATCCTGAGATGGACTGCCAACCCGCACCTAAGAGGCGGACCGAGGGCCGCGGGAAGCCGAGGCAAGGCGGGCCGGGGTAGAGACCCTGACTCGGCTCTAGCTCGCCATCCCCGACACGCCGCCTACGCACTCCCCGGCCCCCCACCCCCCGCTCCGCTCCGCAGCACTAGCAGACGTGCGCATTCTTTTCAAATGTCATATTTCCTTTGATCCTGGGCAGCGTTTCTCCATGTGTCTGGCTCAGCTCCTGCCCAGCCAGCCGCTCCCCCCGCCCTCACCCCACTCTGTGTATTTTGCTGAGGTCCCTCCCTCCCCTCCCAGCATCTGGAAGGCCCTGAGGACTGGCGTTGGCGCACATTCCCCTGGAGACTCTGGCCTCGCCTTCCAGTGACTCAATTTCCCCTCTGCGGGTGGGGGCCGGGAGGTGGGGTGCGGGCGGAGAAAAGAGTTGTTGCGCGTAAATGTGGTATGAACGAGCCTTCAGACTGCTCAGAGCGCCAAGCTCTCTTCGTGGGGCAGAGGAGGGGGGCTCCCCTCGACTCTGAAAACCCTCGGATCTGTCTGAACTGCAGCTAAGGGATGGAATTTATGGCTTCTGCGAGTGGGTAGTTGTAGGTTTGGGTTGATCCGCACATCTGCCCCCTGGCGACCACAAAGACCCAGCAGCCCTCCCTCCCGCGGGTCCGGTTTCTCGACCGCCGGGCCTTGGTCCCTGGTCCGCGGTCCCCTAGCGCGCACATCTGAGCACAGCTCCTCTTTCTCACCTTGTGTTCGTGGAGCGTTGACTTCTGCCCTCCACTTTCACAAGCGTGACTCAACGGCCTTGTAAGTGGACTTTTGTTGTTGTTGTTCCTAAATTACACAAAATACAGTCTCCTTGTAAAGGATTCAAGCCATACAAAAATATGTAGGAAGCTGTGTTACCCCACCGTTTTGTCTAAGTTTGTCAGCCTGTATATGCACACATGCCTGGGCTTTCCATGTGGCTCAGTGATAAAGAATCCGCCTATCAATGCAGGAGGCACAGGAGACCCCGGTTGTATCCTGAGGTTGGGAAGAAGGAGGAGGAAATGACAACTCGCTCTGGTATTCTTGCCTGGAAAATCCCATGGACACAGTTGTCTGGTGGGCTACAGACCCTGGGTTTCCAAAGAGTCAGACACAACTTCGCGACTGAGCATGTACATACGCATGCCTGCCCTTTTTGTGTATGTCAAACCATGTTGCAAGCATTTTTCTTGATTTGCTTTTTTTTTTTCTCAGTTAACAAATGACTTGGAGATCTTTTCCTGTCAGTACATGTACATCTGAAAATAGTAATAAAAACACCCCTCTTCATTTGAGATTAGTGAGAAAGCTAGGTCTGGAACCCAGGTTTTCTGAGTCCTTGTCCAGTGCTAATTCTCCTATACCACATTTTATGTAGGAATCTTTGCGTGGCCTTCCCCCAAAAAATCAAACCCCTAAAAAAGAACGAGATGCAGGTAGGTTATTGTGGAGAGCAACCACAGGGGACAAAAATGGGGAATTGGGAAGAGTGAAATGGGAGAGTGGAAAAGCCATCCACATCTGGAACATTGTCCCACTGAGCACCTTCTGTGGAGCCATACAGAATGTGATTCCAGAGACAGGATATTCATCCACTCACCCTCACTCCCAATGGTCAAAAGTTCCCCTTTTGACTGTCCCCTCACTCTTCCAGCTTTACACAAGTGTCAGAAAATGGTAGGTATTCCACAGTGCTGCAGCAAAGAAGCCCCATAAAAGATAGGAGCTATACCTGCAAGCTGGTACTCTCAGGTGACAGGGGCAAGCAGTTGGTTGCCATAGTAATAGCTGGAGTAAAAAGATGGATGGAGAATCGGTGAGATAAGTAAGATGTGTCCTATCTAAGATCTTTCATTCAAACAAAAAATATGTATTGAGGAACTTCTATGTGTAGAGGCATTTCTAGGCATTGGGTGCCTATATTTATAGACCAAGCCTCCAAGAATTGTTCATTATTATCAGGTTGGAAATACATTTCATACTTGACATCCTCTTCTTCCTTGCCCCCAACTGTACAGAACTATCTGTTTTATTCACAGAGTATCCAGTTATCTATATTTACTTATCTATCTCCTTTCTTTGCATTCCCTTCATTGCCATTCCAGTGTAGACCTTGATTTTTTTCTTAGACTCTCAATGACAGTATTAACATCAATGACATACTTTACACATTTGATAACTGAAGCATATAATTTTTAAACCCTATCTATATGATTTTCATTATTAATCATGTATTAAACAATAATAACCAGAAAAAATGGAAAATAATAATTTTCTTTTATTGACTTCATATGCTCATATGTTTAATAAGGCAATTAAATATATCTATATATATGGCCTATAGATATAGATATACATGGAATATAGTTACAGATTATCTACATTTTTATATATATATATATATATATATATATATATGGCAGTACAAGACAGGAAAAAAGCAACAGATTAATGTAATTTTATGCATATAATTTTTATTTTAAATATAAAGGAAATACATATACTTACATATTTATCTGTCATAAGAATGAATTATAACATTACAATTTCTGTTCCAGGTCTTAATTTTTGCAAATTTGTCAATGATAGTCAAAATTGATCTTCACATATAGACAGTATAGCTAGATTTGTTGATCTGTCTCACTTATGGCTGATCAAAGAAAACTCTAATAGTCTTAATTTTTTGAGATATAATCCATATACCATAAAATTCAGTCTTTTGGAATGTACAACTAGGTTTTAGTGTATTTAAAAGGCTGTGCAACTATCACCATATCTAATTCCAGAATATTTTCATAACCCCCAAAAGAAATGCCATACCTACTAGCAGTTACTCCCAATTTCCCACTTCCCTTTCTCCCTGGAAACCACTAATTCACTTTATGTCCCTATAAATTTGACTCCACTTAGCCTAATGTTTTCAAAGTTCATCCACTGGTAGTACATACCAGTATTTATTCCTTTTTATGACTAAATATTGGAGAAGGCAATGGCACCCCACTCCAGTACTCTTGCCTGGAAACTCCCATGGATGGAGGAGCCTGTTGGGCTGCACTCCATGGGGTCGCTAAGAGTCAGACACGACTGAGCGACTTCACTTTCACTTTTCACCTTCATGCATTGGAGAAGGAAATGGCAACCCACTCAGTGTTCTTGCCTGGAGAATCCCAGGGTCGGGGGAGCCTGGTGGGCTGCCATCTATGGTGTTGCACAGAGTCGGACACGACTGAATCGACTTCGCAGCACCATGACTAAATATTTAATTTGAAAATATTTTTCACAGAAAGCAATAGATAGAAAAAAAATCTAAGGAAAAGATTGGCACAATTCATTAACAATCCCATTTCACAGTAAGTTCCAAAAATTGCAATATGTTTTTGTTTCTCCTTGAAGCTAACAGCTTTCAGGTGCCTCCTTCACTGAAAAATTTTAAATACAAACACTTCACATTTTTACTGTAATAGTTTCTAGTACTGTTAACAAATCACTTTCAAAACTGGGTGCCTTCAAACCACAGTGATCATTTGTTATCTCTCATAGTTTTCTATGAGTAAGAAATTCAGGAGTGAGGAAGGCTCCTAATCTGCTCCACAACGTCTGGTGAGGGACTTGAAGGCTAGGAGCTGTAACTGTCACATGTCTAGCTACTGGCATTTACTGTTGGATGGAACTAGCCAGAACAACTGGTTGTACCACATACATATGACTATTCGGTGTGGCTTGGGCTTCCTTACAAAACAGCAGCTTTGAGAACATGCTTCAGGTAGAAGCTACATTCTTCTCATGACCTAGTCTTTTTATATATATATATATTTTTTTTTTTTCTCATTTATTTACTTATTGTTGGCTGTGCTTAGTCTTCATTGCTGTGCGGGCTTTGCTCTAGTTGCAGTGCATGGGTTTCTCGTTGCAGTGGCTTCTCTTATTGCAGAGCAAGGGTTCTTAGGTGCTCTAGCTTCAGTAGTTTTGACATGTGGGCTCAGGAGTTGAGGCTCCCAGACTCCAGAGCACAGGCTTAACAGTTGTGGCACATGGGCTTAGCTGCTTTGTGGCATATGGGATCTTCCCAGATCAGGGATTAGGATCGAACCCATGTCTCCTGCATTGGCAAGCAGATTCTTTACCACTGAGCCGCTAGGGAAGCCCACGTCCTAGTCTTGAAAGTCACAAGCCCCTGGCCGGAATCAAGGGATGAGAACATAAACCCCCCACCTCTGGGTAGAAGTATCAGTTATACAGGAAGAGGAGCACATAGAATGCAGTAAACACATACACATGGTCTTCTTTAGAAAATTAAATCGGTCACCATCTGGTCGTAACAATCCACATTCCTCCCACGTTCATCCTCTCCCCATAAGACCTTAAAGTCTCATTCCATTACAGCACCTAGCTCAGGCACGAGGGCCCAGATCTCATCACCTCGGTCCTGGACCTCAAGCCTGAGCAAATGCAGTGTAACAAACCACCCTGATAGGCAGTGGTTCCTTCCAGCTATGTATTATGTAATTGGGAGATAAAATGTAAAGGTGAAAGTTGTAAACTAATAAGAAAGTTTAACAATAACCAATAATTCAGGCGATGTAACCAAACAATTCTATCCATAAGAGATGATGGGTTGGAAGCAACAGAACCTGGCTTCCGTATAACTTAAGCAAAAGAGGAACATTTTGACAGGAGAGAGAGCAGAACTAAGAGAAAAGGAGAATCCTTATGAACTTGGGGCTTCCCTGGTGGCTCAGCTGGTAAAGAATCCACCTGCAATGTGGGAGACCTGGGTTTGATCCCTGGGTTGGGGAGATCCCCTGGAGAAGGGAACGGCTACCCACTCCAGTATTGTGGCCTGGAGAATTCCATGGAGTGTATAGTCCATGGGGTCACAGAGTTGGACACAACTGAGCGACTTTCACTTTTGCTTTCTTCACTTATGAACTTGGGTTGAATCTCACTTGGTCACAGTATATGATCTTTTTTATATATTGTTGGAGTCTGGTAATATTTTGTTAAGAATTTTTGCATCTATATTTGTCAAAGATATAGGCCTTCAATTTTCTGTCTTGATAGTATCTTTGATTTTGGTATCAGTGTGAGAGTGGCTTCATAGAATGTCTTTGGAAGTATTCCCAACTCTTCAATCTTTTGGGAGAGTTTGAGAAGAATCAGTATAAGGTCTTCTTTGTATGTTTGGTAGAATTCACCTGCGAAGTCATCTGGTCCTGGACTTTTGTTTGTGGGGAGTTTTTGTTTTGTTTTGTTTGTTTTTTGGCTGTGCCAGATGGCATATAGGATCTTAGTAGCCCCACCAGGGATCAAACTCACAGCCCCTGTATTGGAAGCATGGACTCAACCACTGGACCATCACGGAAGTCCCTGTAGGGAGTTTTTAAGTTCCAGATTCTACTTCTTTTCTAGTGATTGCTCTGTTCAAATTATCTGTTTCTCCTTGATTCAGTTTTGGTTGGCCTTTTTGTTTCTAGAAAGTTGTCCATTTCTTCTAGGTTGTCAAATTTGTTGGCATATAATTGTTCTTTTTTTGTTTGTTTGTTTTAATTTCTGTAGTACCAGTTGCAATTTCTCCTTTTTCATTTCTTTTTTTTTTTGGTTCTCTCTCCTTTCTCCTTGTTGAGTGTGGCCAGAGGTTTGTCAGTTTTGTTTACCCTTTCAAAGAACCAGGTCTTGATTTTATTGATTTTTTTTCTATTGTTTTCTTAATCTCTATTTTATTTATTTCCTCCCTGATTTTTATTATTTTCTTCCTTCTGCTTACTTTAGGTCTTATTTTTTTCTTCTTTTTATAATTCTTTTAGGTGGTAAGTTAGGTTGTTTACTTGAGATTTTTCTTGTTTTTTTAAAGGAAGGCCTGCATCACTACGAATTTCCCTCTAAGAACTGCTTTTGCTGCATCTCATGTATTTTGTATGCATTTTGATTGTCATTTGTCTCCAGGTATTTTTTAATTTCCTTGTTAATCCTTTGGTTTTTTTAGTAGCATGTTGTTTAGTCTTCATGTAATTGGGCTTTCTTGTCCTTTCTCTTCTTGTGGTTGATTTCTAGTGTTAGTCCATTGTGGTCAGAGAAGATGCTTGAAATAGTTTCTATACTCTTAAATTTATTGAAGTTAGTTCTGTGCCTTAGTATGTGGTCAGTCCTAGAGAATGTTCCATGTGGACTTGAGAAGAATGTGATTTGGGGGGTGGGGGGACGTGTAATGTCCTGAAAACATCAATTA